TGTTGTATCTTTTTTAAACTTTGCATTTTTAGTAAAAACATGAAAGATAATTTTAAGATTATAAATTACACAACAGTTGGCAATCTGCATGGATCAAGGGCATTTCCCTATGTCAGTGAAATGTCAAATCTAGGGCCCCTTCCAAAAAAATCCCTGTCATTTGAGTGAATGGTATGATAATTAAAAGTGTTTCTATTTTTGTCATTGTATCCTTGGCTTGTAGCACAGTGTCTGGTACACTGTAGGTGCTTAATAAATGCTTATTGAATGAATGATTAAGATGAGAGAGTAGGCAAAACACTGGAGGGGGGCAAAATGTGAGACAAGGACAGGAATCTATGTGCTAGAAAATAAAATAATGTATATAACAGGCACTCAATAAATATTTGTTGATTTGATAAAGAACACATAGGAACTTAAGAGAGAATTACTGCTTTTAAAGTAGCATGTTGGAAGAAAAAAATTGGCATAGAAAATAATTAGAAAACAATGGCAAAGAATTTTGATGTAAGATGAGCTGTGTTCTAATGCTAAGCATTTGCCATGTCAAGAAAGCTTAGCTTTATTCAATGTCAGTAAACTATGTATTAATCTAAATGATACCTATGAATTGAAATTAGCTAGGAAAAGCAGCAGATTGCAAAAATCAATGCAAAGTTCTCACATTTTCATAATGGAAATGGTTTTTTTTGAACCTTAATGAGAGTACGTGCTACTAAATTACTTAATTTTTCTGCAAATAGGTTTGTTGTGGGTACATCAAAATAGATTAAATGATTATAGTAATAACCATATATTCAGCTAGAGAAAACTTTTCTCGGCAAATGGCTTTTAAAAAAATTCATGTTCAGAGACAGATTAATTGGGGGGGTTGAGGAAGGGAGAATTTTTTTATGTTTGTGTGACAAATGAAAAATGCAGGCATTGCCACTGTTTCAAAATTTATTTTCTACTAATCCTCCTCTTCTTCACTGCATAGCACATTATAGCCAATTACAAGGGCAGTTTAAATCCCTAAACAGTAAAGCTTTTAAAAGTGCAAAAGCTGGAAGAAGCTTTTATGATTTCTGGCAAGTCATTTCTATATTGAGAAACTCTAACTGAGAAAGACACGCTTTCTATTCCTAGCCCCACCCCCAACCCGTTAGTACACTTGCCTGATGAGAATGAAGCCTTTCTAATCAGATCACAATTGAGTTTTCACTCTAAAATGTCTATGTGACAAACCCAGGCTTTACCACTACAGTAATGTTACCCAAGATGACATCATTTTAGGTGAGCAGGTTTTCGGATTAAGTTCTCTTAAATATTAACACCATTTCCCAATAATATTAGACTAGCAAGTTTAACCCCTGAAATGCAATGAGTGTAAGCAAAGGATTTTTTCAATACCTCATCTAGGACTCTTCATCCCATACCCTATAGGACCAGTGAGATCTTTTGTTAATAGAACTCTGCACAATTTAATGACCTCTTATGTTAATTCAATTAAATGCACTTATAAATTTTACTATTCCTAAAGGTTTCTCTGGGAATTCTCAGAACTCTTGCTTAGGATTCTTATGCAGTAATGTTCTATTCTGTATTATGTTTATTTTTGTATGTACGTGTTTTATCTCCCTAAGAAGTTCCTCAAGGGCAGAAACAGTGGACTATATCTGCATTCTCTAGTCTACTGCTTTGCATGTAGTAGGTGTTTAATGAGGGCTTATTGAATGAATGTCATCATTTCTCCTATCGTTGTGACCTTCTGTAATTGGAAAGCCGGATACATTTGCAATGCTCCATTTCGGGAGGACTAAGCCAATGATATAACCTGGAGAAATTGGTTCATATTTTCCTTTCTTTAGTTTGGGTTGTCTTTAATGTGATTTTGAATTATTAGTGTCCAAGTGTATATTTCATCTTATTCCATAGAGGGCCAAGGCATTCTAGTTCATAACATCTCTTTGTAAACCCACAAGTCGATAACACTTTAAAAATTGCCCTTTCAGTGAGATTGATCCTCTTATTATGGTCCTTACGTGCTGTTCTTTTGAAGCACCCTACTGATAGAAGTCAAACTTTGTTCACCTTGCCTTGTGTCACTTTTGAGTTTGATTTTGGCTTAAGTGATGAGATGGCCTAATGGAAAGAGAGGTCAGTGTGTGTGTGTGTGTGTGTGTGTATGTGTGTACTTCTTTTTAAAAACGGCCAACAGATTATTGATCAATCTTAGTATTTCAAAAAGGCTCTTGATACATGAATTTGGGTTTCCGGGAAGAGAAGTGTTTCCTTCCTAATTATGAACCTCTCAGAGATGAGGGTCATAATAGAACTGCTGACATGCCTCTAATTTTAAAAGTGTGAGGACTGTCAATAGGCCTCTTGCTTAGGTCCATGAAGAATATAAATTCAGCATAGGACTACAGGGTCAGGTCTTTGATCTCCCTTTTTGCAGAGGCTGCAATGGATAAAACCAATTCCAGTGAGCACATAGTACTACACTGCATATTAATTATCCTTGGATGATAACAAGGTATTCTTACACTCAAATTAAAAGAAAAGCTGCAGGGATGAACAGCGCAGCCAGGAACCTGGGACAGCAGAGAGGATTTCATCATAGGAAAAGTTTTAAAATTATTATCCTTATTTTCCATTTTAAAAATATCCCATAAGATTCTGATTTCAGAGGCACTTGTATATTGGCAAATACACATACATGCATATTGACCTCTTTTTGCATTATGCCATTTTAATACTTGAATTAGTGTGAAAATATGTATAAGGGATTAAACAAAGCTTGGCTCGCCTCCAATAGGTATATTTCTGAATACAGCTTAGAAGGAAAAATGTCTTATGTAGCTAGACCCTTCTTTGCTAAGAACTTTGACACTAATATTTCAAACTCATCAAGGGCCTTAACTTGAAGATCAAATACTTACGAAGAGGTCATTGTACTTAAGATTTCTCTACCCCAGTGAAAGCAGGCATTGAATATTCTTACCTTTCTCAAGCCAGCATTCCAGTCTCTTACCTTTCTCTCATGCAAAATTTACAGGTTTGAAGGCATTCAAGTGTGCAGCCATTACCCAGGCTTGTGTACACATTTCAAATGGAAAAACAAATGACTTTAGACCATAGGAAATATTTTTGCATCCTGAGCAGTCTTTACATTTAATCAGCACCTTTGCTCTACATATGTACAGAAGCTTTATCATGTATTTTAAAACAAATGGAAGGTGTTCTCTGTAAATCCTACTTTATGTCTCAGGATGTGCTTACTAAATGATGTCATTGTAATCATTAAAAAAAAAACTTCTGGGGCACCTCAAATTGTTCACTGTAATAAGGACATGCAGAGTATTTATATGTATATCTAAATGCAGATACTAACTCTTACCTCCCAAAATTCCCCCCCCCCAAAGAAAACCCTTCACCAAATTGTTTTTTGCTCTTCTTCTAAGGAGAGCCAAGGAAAAGTTCCTGTGTGTGGTCTGCCTATTCTGGGCACTTTCTTTAAAGACCACTTTGATTTTCTGAAAGAGAATTTCTTTGCAATTGACTGGGGATTTGGCCCTCTTGAGCTTAAGCTGAATCTTGCAGATAAGGAGCCCTACCTAGTAACAACCTGTTCTTCTGGTTGTCTGGGCTCAGCCTGGTCCTACATTCTTTCTCCAGCCACCCACTTCACCGAAATATGCTAAGCAGTAACATCAGACAAAAATTTTGCTCCAAATTTTCTTCCCTAAACAACTTCTCCTACTAAGATAAAGTATGGAGACATCCCTATATGCAATTGCTGTATAGATCTCTGGAAGTTCTCAGAGAGGGCTGACAGAAGACCCCTTGCCTGCTCCACTTACTGGCGTGCACTGAAGGCACACATACGATGTGTGTATGTGCAGAGAAGAAAACAATTCTCTGCTCTCCACATCCCCTACCATACTTGTCCCTGCCATCAGCAGTCTGGAGGCTTTCCACCGTGAATTTCTATTTTGTAAAACCCATAAAGGTTCTACAAAGAGGCATCTCTCACAATGCCCTGTCCTCTCAGCTGTATCAGTGTTCCCTGCTGCTGAAGCCAAGTGTCTTTTGGACAATGCTCAGCATCTCACCAGGGTGATGGCTGGATTGCTTCCTCCCAGCCTTTGCAAACGATTTTAGGATTTCCCAAAAATGAATGTCTAGTTCTGCCTAATACGTGTGCTCTCCCTGGTCCCCTTCTCCAAACGCATAACTTGAAACTATCTCTCAGCACTCTAACTCTAGGCTCTAAATGGAAAGCAGCAAAGAACTTCACTTACAAGAGTAGTTCTTCCCTCCGATTTCACTCCTTCCCCCAAATAACCCTGACTTCTACCCTTGGAACCACCAAAGAGCACCTACGTATTTCGATGCGATCTTAATGCAGTTCCCACAGAAGGACTGCGACCGGCTCGATAAAATGCTCCCTGCGCTCCCCCTCCCCTTTCCCCCTCTCGCTACCGCAACCATCTCCGTTCCCACATATTCCCGAAACACCCCGATTTCTCCAGGGCGCCGGGACGCTATGGGGGAGAGAGGAGTTTGCTAGCTCATCCCAGAGCATGACTTTAAAGCCTGCTCGAGCCCTGACCTTTGTAACATCTTACTCCTGAGCTCTCAAGTTAGGGCTGCATGGCCCGTCAGCTTTTGGCTCTGCAGCCGCACCACGAAGATGCTGCGTGTGCGTGTGTGTGTGTGTGTGTGTGTGTTTGTGTGTGTGTGTGTGTCCCCTGTGCTCTGCCGCAGCACTTGCGGTATAGCCTTTTCTAACTCCAGACACTTTTTTCCCCCCAGCCCAGGGGACTTTCTCCGTGTCTCTGTGAATTCGCCAGTCCTAGGCATCTTCCCCTCTAGCTAGCCTACTCTGCTGAAGGGCTGGAATGAGGACGGCTGGTGTGTGCAGGGGCGGGGGGGGGGGGGGGAGGGGAAGAGACGGGCTTATAGATATCAAACATATATAAAGATGCTCATTCTCATGCCCCCTCTCTCCTTACCTTCAGCTCCTGCTCTGCCCAAGATGTCAATCTAGGGCGGCTGGCTGCTCAGTACACCATCACGGCGTCTTCGAGGAAGCCAGGCAGCCCAGGACCAAATTCTAAGAAGCAAATCTTAAATACCTCAGGGAGCCGATTCTGCCAGGGCAGAATGGAGAAAAAGAATAAAACACTGATTCACGGAGATTTCCACGGGGCCAAAGGAGCTTAACTTTTTGGTCCGGGCTGGGATTTTTTGTAGTTGTAAAAAGGCAAACATCATTCCCCGTTTAGAGCCCTAACGCTAGTTCTTGCCCTCCGAAACTGGTTCATTTCCTAATTTGAGGAGTGACAACCATGAACTAACATCACTGGGAGGGGAGGGAGGGGTATTTATTTATTTATTATCTTAAAAGCAACTCACTCTCCCAAACACCTCTCTTTGGAGAGAAAGAAAAGAAGAAAATTAATTGAGAAAAACGAGGGTCAGAGGGAACAGGAAAAGGGAATGAGAATGGGGGAGGGGGAGGGGAAGGGGAAAACTGGGTTTGATCCCCGAATAAGGACTCGGCTACCATTTGGGGTATCCTGCAGGAACCTGCTACGGGTTGGAAGAGAGAGGAACGGAGTAAAGAAGAGGGGAAAGAGGTTTGGGGGGAAAAAAGAGGGGGAGGGAGAGAGGAAGGGGAAAAGAAGAGAGCAGGGTGGGTGAGTGGGAAGCTCCCTGAACCCTCAGCGTGATACAACAGCCTCCTAGGCTGTCTGTACTCCGCTCTCCCTACAGCCAGAAAGCAAGTGCTCTCTGGCGCTGACATCATTGCAAAAAAGGAGGGGCATAAAATGGAAATGCCAAGGGAGAAATGAATTTCCCCCCTCTTAAAGGTGCCCACGCTGTTACTGTCTCACTCTGTTTCTCTCTGTCTCTGTCTATCTCTGTCTCTCTGTGTGTGTCTGAGTGTGTGTGTGTGTGTGTGTGTGTGTGTGTGTGTGTGTGTGTGTGTGTGTTGTAATGCAACCCTAGAGCCGCAGCAGCCCTCGAGGGACGGCTTTGGGGTGGTTTTCCCCCTCCCCAGTTTAACTTGGTTGTCTGGCTGTCACCCTTTCACCACGAGAGAAATTCATATGTAGCTTCTAGTACTAAGTGCGTTTATTCTGTCGTTGCTCAAAGAAAGGAACAAGAGAAGAAATAAAACTATACTTTGAGTTAAAACGGCTGTTTTTCTTACTAGAAGAAATTCGAGTTTCCTAGAATTTAACTCCCCCTTTCTGCCCCCAACACACACATATACACACACACACACACACTCACCTTCCCTCCAGGGACTTCTGCGTTGATTATGAGTGCTCTGTTTCAAAACTAGTAGATTTATGGTCAAATCCACATAGTTGTTACCAGGTTTAAGAGATGCTCACCAGAACCTGTTTTCTTTGGCTAATGCTCAAGAGTTCGAATTCATTGAACCACTTGAATTGGGAATGGGACTACGTTGGAACCTAGCTTCTGAACTTCTCCCTGAACACTCCACTGGCTGTATCTAGCAAGCCTGTAGAGCCCAATTCTTTCTTTCCTCTGTCCATTTCTTAGATCACTCCTCTGTCCCCTTCTCATATCCCGCTCCTTCATCCAGTGGGAAAAAAAAAACAACTTCCTAAACTCAGTCTTTTACTTTTATATGTATTCCTGATTCTTAGCCCCCCCCCACCTGAGCCTTTTTCCTTTCCTCATTCTTTTACACATGTGTTACAGTGGCCTAAATTTAAATTCTCAGCTTCTAAAGCAGGAATTCTCAAACTAGGATCCATGAACCTTTTGAAAAAATAGATTTTGATAACTGTATTTCAGTGTAATTGGTTTCCTTTGTGATCATGTTGTTTTATTTTTATGCATTTAAACACATTATTCTGAGAAGTTTTAACCAGACTGGCAAAGGGATCCAGGACACAAAGAAGCCCTGCTCTAAAGCAAAAATTTTGGAAATGCACCCCACCCCCCACATCCCAGCAAATACAACTCTCCTTTGCTATTCTGCCACCCATAAACTTCAAAGGTAGCAAACAATTGGGCCTGGGCTTTTTCTAAGCTTTTATAAAGTTGAAGAAAGGGGATAGTTTCCTCATTAATTTATTAATGAGGAAATTAAACCCTAATTAATCCCTCATTTTGTATCAGTACTATGGATAATTTGAACTGAAGAGCAGGACTTTATATCTATCTTTATTAAATGTCATCATGCAGATATGGCTCATGGAGATCCTTTTGGATCCTAAAAATTCCCCCCTCCCAAGCCTTGTTCTATACATCATGTAAACTATACTTTCAATAATGAAGTCAAAGACTGCATTAACTTTTTTGACTATCAGGCCACAACTCTCTTTGCTCTTAGTGAACTTGGAGTCCACTAAAGCCCACCAGGTTTTTTTCATTTTGTTTTGTTTTGTTTTTTCCTCTACATGGGCCACATCATCCCCAGTTTGCCCTACCTTTTATGTATGTGGTTGAATTTCTCATCCTAAGCGTAAGACTTTACATTTATCCATATGGCATTTCTTCTAGTGACACTTGGTTCATTTTTCAATCTACTTGGGGAAACAATAAAGTCCCACTCTACAGGTGAATAAAGGCCAACTTCAGCCAAGTGCCCTGCTGTTGCCCTGGCCTTGGGTTCCTAATACACACAGGCCAACTCAATTCTTTATTCCCTTCCCATAATCACACATAAGGCTTATTTTCTAGCTAAATGCATAATTTAAAATTCCTTCACCACCCTAATCAGACTATGGTTTATCAATGTAACCTCTAAAATGTGATGCCTTTAAATGAACAAAGCGTTCCAGATGGGGTCTGACCAGGGCAGACTTAAGTGGGACTATCACTTACCTCAGTCTGGACACTTTTATTAATGCAGGGTAATACCGCATTACCTTTTTTTTTTTTTTGACCACTGCTGGGCTTGCAGTAGCCCCCCTCCCTTCCCCCCCTGCGCCCCACCCTTCGCCCAGCCCTCCCTCTCCCGCCTCTGCCCCGCCCATCGCCCCACCTCCCCCCCGCCCATCGCCCCACCCCTCACCGCCCGTCCCACTCCTCCGCCCCCACCCTATTCCCCGCCTCCGTCGCATTCCCCGCCCCCTACCCCCACCCCCTCCAAGTCCCCGCCCACTCCCGCCCTTCCTACCCCCCCGTCTTAGTCCCCTCCCACCCACCCGCCCTCCTTCCACGCTCCTCCCACTCCCCCTCCCTTCTCTCATTCCCCTCCCACCCACCTCCCCCTCTCACAGCCCCTCCCACCTTCCCCTCCCAGCTTCCTCCCAACCATTCTGCCCTTCCCATCCCTTCATCCAAGGCTTTTTTTTTCCTCACCTGAACTGCTGTTAAGCCAATTCTCCTCTATTCCCTGCATTTGCAGTAGGTATTTTGAACTTAAGTAGAGGACTTCACATTTATCTTTATATTTTTCATTTCGATTAAATCTATTCTTACAGCCTGTCCATATCTCTGGATCCCGAATTTCCTATGAGGTCATTCATTAGGAAAAGGGAAAGTCTTTACCTGTGAGTTTTCATCTAAACTCTATGTAAAGGGGCAGTTTTCACTGCAGAAGTTTCCCATCTAGCAAATTAGGGAGGAGGGAGGGAGAAAGGAGAGTCGAGGAAGGGAAGAAGACGGAAAACTCTCAGGATTAGTTCGGCTTGGGTGACGGAGTGTGGTGCACTACCTGCAGCTCTGTGCGCGCTGCAGTTTGAAGAGAGGTGGAGTGGGAGATGGAGCCGGCCAGAGGCCAGAAAGAACAGAGGAGCGGAGAAGCGAGCTAGAGGGGAATGAAATGGGATGAGGGTGACACAGGATGGCTCGGTTTTCTTCTAGTCGCATTGCCCCGTCACTACTAAGTACCTACGGTCGGGGAAATGGTTTGGGACGCAGCCTTTAAATATTTGTCCAATATCTTAGTTATCACATCCTCCGTGCTTAGGCTAGAGGAGTGAAGCTGAAGTGAGAGAAATAGCCCCACGTGCACTCTCTGACAGTTAATGTGGGAGTTTTCATAAAGTAACCAGGTAAACGGTGTGGAAGATATCGAAGGGGGAGGGGTGGGCGTTAATCTGTCTATCGCTCGACCGATCAAACGATCGATCTCCCCCTCGCCCACAGATCTCGCTTTTTCTCTCCCCTGGGAGAGGGGCAGAGGGGAGGACGCCAAAAAGCGTCTCGGGGATATGCGTCCATAGGCATCTCTCTAAACACAGACGGCAGGAGAGCTAAACACAATAGATGATCTATGCAGAATAAATTGACAGTGGTGTTTCTTGGTACAGAGATACTCACCAGGTTATCAAGGTCTTCTTTCGGCCGGAACTGGTGCTTCCACCGCCGCCGGCCGTCTACCGCCACGTTTCGTCGTTTAACGCCTTAGCGGCGGCGACTGAGCGCGGTAGCCAAAGTGATGGCAACTGCCCACTAGAGCTACAGCGGCAGTGGCGACTGACCGCGAGGGCGACCGTGGCGGGGCGGCCGGGGCGATGGGGACGGTGGCGGTGGCGGTGGCGGCTGACCGCGGGGGCGACCGCAGCTGTGGCAGTGCCGCCGCTGCGGCGGCTGTGCCGCCGCAGCGGCGGCCAAGGAGTATACGCTCCCCGGCTCGGACTTCGGGCTCTTCTCCGGGCTGGTCTTCGCCCTCCGGATTCCTTTCTTCGCACCGCGTTCCGAAGCTTTTCAGCCCTTCTTCGCCCCGCGGAGGCTCTTCTTCAGGGACTTCTGCTGCTGCTCTTCTGCTGGCTGGTGCTTGACAGTTTCGCAGACTGCAAGGAGCCGGGGTGGTGCAGCCCCTTTTCAATACTAAGGGGGAGGGACCAAAAAGAGAGGGGGGGACGAATAGGGAGGAGGAGACGGGGGCTCCAGAGAGGGAGGGGGAGAAACCGTGCCTAGCCGCCTGCCGGGAGGGGATGGTGCAGCGCCAAGGGCTGGTCCCCCTCTCCACACTCACATAGGCGCGCACACATACATGCGCACACACTGCCCCCCCCCTTACACACCCCCGCACCCCTCTCTCCCCACCTCTAAGGGGCGGCCGCTGCTTGCTGACGCGGGAAACGGGGGGAGAGGGG